CTAGCAGTGCTATTGTTGGGTCATAGGGGAGTTCTATTGTTAATTTTTTGAGGAACCTCCACACTTTTCCAGAGCAGCTGCACCGGTTTACATTCCCACCAATGGTATAGGAGCGTGCCCGATTCTCCACATCCTCGCCAGCATCTATAGCCTCCTGATTTGTTCATTTTAGCCACTCTGACCGGCATGAGGCGGTATCTCAGTGTGGTTTTGATTTGTGTTTCCCTAATGATGAGGGACGCTGAGCATAATGAGACCTTTTTATTTGCTATGTTAAGTTACTCTGGAAGCAATGTCAAACAAATCATGGTAAACCTTGGTTTTACGGGGTTTTTTAGATTGTATTGCTTGGGTAAATGCTCTAACTGTATATATAAATGCAATTCCTAAAGTTTTAATATGTCTTGGTAATAAGGTTGTCACTTGATATTCTGATTATCAAAGTGTTATGTGTCACAGAAATAACCGAATTTCCTTGCCGATTGCATCGTCGTGAACTCTCATCAGATCTTTCGCCATGTCCACTTTTGAGTCGTCTTGTGTGTTATACTTTTGTGACTCCTGCTTAAAACATTGCTGGTTCTCTAATGTTTGCTCTTCCAGATTAAGGAAATTATCTAAGATATCCGTGATACACAATAATAGGGTAAAGTATCTCTCTGTACACAAACTAAAGGGTTTAATTTTTCTCTCTCCCTTATCCCTCTGAAACTCACAAACTCTCAGTGAATTTTTCCTTGGCAATCACACTTGAAATACGGGTCACTTTACCAAGGCTTTGACTTGGAATGTCCTATTTGACGGTGACATGCATAGGCATCGACATAGATACGGCATAGATATAGACACAGGCTCAGATATGACCAGACAGCTTTAAGGAACTAAGGTTGACTTTATGAAACATAGAGCCATTCAGCCCCTCGGAAGTGTTGGCCTGATACCTTCCAAAGTTCCCAGCAGCCTTACCAGGTAAATAACTTCACTTCCTGGCAGGTGCAGGAAACCTCAGGATACTCTAAGGACCTCGTGAAGGTAGATTTCACCAAAATCTACAGGGATGACTGGCAAACGCTTGACTTGGCTCTTAGCCTGGAGAGGCCACTAAATGTTCAATCTAGACATTCCTTATAAAAAGTTCCAGCAAGGGGCACCTGGGTGGCTTAGTCGGTGAAGCGTCCGACTTTCGCTTAGGTCATGATCTCGCGGTTCGTGGGTTCGAGCCCTGCGTCGGGCTCTGTGCTGACTGCCAGCTCAGAGCCTGGAGCCTGTTTCAGAGTCTGTGACTCCCTCTCTCTCTGACCCTCCCCTGCTCACGCCGTCTCTCTCTCTCTCTCCTAGAAATAAATAAGATATTTATAAAAAAAAAAAAAAAGTTCCAGTAAATCACATTTTCAAAGACCTATATGACCAACAGCAGTTCTTCTTGAGGTTATATAAAGAATTGGGCCGAATTCGTTAAAATTAGACTCATTTTACGAACAAACTCATCTTGATTTGGCTCTCTCTGGAAACGAGGGTTACTAGAGAGACAACTTACAGGTCAGTAACACACCTCTCTGGATATTAAATTCAGTTCTGATGTGTTTAAATGTTTGTTGTTTGCCTAAGTTAGACAACTTGGGGTAAACCTCAGAAAATTTATCACGGTAGCACAGCTACGCACAATCTCCTTGCTTGTTATACTGTGGGGATGATAACAGGACCCCATGGGCATGTGATCATTTAAACAACTGGGAAAATGGGATGGACCCTCCCGACCATTGCGTATAAGTCTTTTCTCACTGCAGACCTATCAATAGATAAAGACTGTATTGCTTTATTAAATTATTCACTTGATGCTGGGTTAATTCATAAATCTCTAAATACACAGACCATATCCTCCCTAAACCTGATCTTCCAGTTGCTAGGAACCCACCCAGTATAAATGCAGGAGACCTGGTTTGTTTAAAAGATGGGAAGTCTAACGCAGAAGGGGATTTAACTCCAACGTGGAAGGGCCCCTACTGGATCATATTAAGTACTCCCACTGCAGCAGTTAGAGGGGCACTCTTCCCAGGCCGTATATCTAGAATAAAGCCTTCTTTATTCCTCCTTCACAGGAAACCAATGAGCAAACTAATGTTCCTTCTTATTCGTTTATAGGAATAAGGTTTATAGCTATGGAAGACCTCAGGGTTCTCTTCAAGCAAAATTGATGATTGTCCCTTTCTTCTTCATTCTCCTTTCCTCGATTTGTAGTAACCGATGATCCTTTCTACTCAAGAAGGTTCAAGTATGCTGTCCACATTGGATTCAGCCTGCCTCTGCCTTCGTAACTCCCCTACACCTTCCTCGACTGACCAATATTGACCCATAGGTAGGGACCACTCTACACCTCCACTCAGCAAGAAGAAGCTACCGAAGATGAGACCTTCCACCTTCAGCGACCTTCAAGATTTAAGGGTCGTAACTGTTCATGGGCCATGTGATGAGGGGGCATGAGGCCGGCTGAGGGCAAAGCACCCCGGGGGGGATGTGTGTGATACTCCTCTCAGCTGCCCAAGAACAGAGGAAAGGACAGAAAACAAGTGATTGAACTGATAGAGATCACAGGAACTGAGTCTCCATCAGTTTACAAATATCTTAGTAAATTACAAGAAAAAGGCAATCGATCTCCAGAAATCCATAGCCCCAACATCACCCTCCCTTCCAGAGTGATGTGTGGAGCAAAGGCAAGAGGTAATGGCAGGTAAAATTAAATTTCCTCATAACCTGCTGCCCACGGGTCCCGTCTCCGTGCTTTAATAAGACCACCCTTTTGCACCGAGGACGTCTCAAGAATTCTTTCTTGGCCGAGGGCTCCAGACCCATGTGGTCCAAAACCCACATCACAGAGAGCACACGCGGTCTCGGACATGGATCTGGGTTCTCTCTTAGCTGCTCACAAGCTGTGTGACCCTGGGAAAGTGACTTCACTGCTCTGAACCCAAATCACAGCTTGGTATGGAAGGCTGGGTAAACTGGGAGGCCGATTACACATCCTGAATGTCTTCCCTCTGCAGGAATCCCAGGCCTGCTCCCTCTGTGACGCCGCCACCGCCTCAGGCCACGGGAGAGGCCACCTGTCAGTTGAGACTGAATTCTGGTATTGTCCTGAGTATCTGAAATCTTTTGTCTCTCCCTGCGCCCCCAGACCGCTCCTCACCTTGCCCTAAGCAGGCGGTGGGGCGGCTGCGTGGGAGTGGAGAAGCCACAACCTGCGTAGGGCTGTGGGGGAGGCCAGTCTGTCCTGTCTTACTGTCTGTCCGGTCTTACCATAGTGCCCCACCATCCAGGCCCCAGCGACCCTGGAGCCTGCTTCTCTCCACAGCTCTCTGCTCTCCCTGCGGAGGGCACTGGGGGTCTCTCTCACACAGACCACGGGACTATCTCGTGGGCATAACAGCCCAGGCCATGCTATCATACGCCCCGGAAGCGGGGTCATCAGCTCTCCATCCTGCCCGCACAAACCCATGTTCCAACCACAGAGAATTCTGTGCTCTAAATGCCACCACGGCTCTGCATCCTTGCTCAGGCTGTGTTTCCATCCTGAAACGCTCTCCCTGCCTTCTTATCCAGGTACCCATCCGTCATCAACGGAACCACAGAAATACGGATCGAGCTTCCCCTATGTGCGCCGTGGGGTGGGAAACGGTGAGGGCACGGAGAAGACAGAAGCTATGGGTAGACGGACCGCCAGCAATTCCTCCCGACCTGCACCCTCCAACACAAACCCCTATACACACACACACACACACACCCCTCCAGGCCTTAGCACGCTCTTCCCTCTGCTAGTGATCGTCCCTGCAGCCCCTGGTGACCATAGTAGATGCAACTTGCCGGGTTTAGCTCACATGCCGCTTTCTCCAGGAGCCCTGGCCCCAAGCTCCTCGTTCTCTCCTTTCACCTGGTGCCGCTGGGTTTGGACCTCCCCACAGGGCACTCAAAAAGCGTGTTTGAATTCTGGCCGGCTCTGTGTCCTGCGGCCTCAGTTGTCCCACCCGTGAAATGGAATAGTTACATCTAACTCACAGGTGTTTGTACAGAGTAAATGAAATAGTACACTGACCGCCTTGTACTGAATGCTAAATACATGCTAACTATTACCAACACCATCCTAATTTCGGCATCCTTAGCACTGGGCACAGGACTGACTATATAATTGGGGTCAAATACTTGTTTGGTGGCCGGATGGATGGGTGGCTGGCTGGATGGTGTATACACGGAGAGATCTTTGCTGGTTTTCTACGGCAGTTTGGGGTGGGGGGGTGAAGAACCAGGATGAACTTAAAAAAACTGATCTTGATCCACATACCAGAGATTGTCTCATATGAGCCTCATAATAAGACGATATTAATAGCAGAACAAGGAAGTGGTTATTCAGAGAGGGTAAGTCAGTGAAGCAGCGTCACATAGTGAATAAGAGACAGTCAGGACCGCCGGGAGTTTCCTGGATACCTGGAAGGAGGAGGGAGGCTGGCTTCGGATTGGATGTCCCCAATCTCAGACTGGAAACTCTTGGAGGGCAGGGCCTCCGTGGGGGCAGGGCTGCCTCGCGGGCCCTAGAAGCTGCTCGGCCGGAGATCTAGACTTAAAGGAGAGGGAAGGCTGGGCTGAGGAGGGGGCTGTGGGGCTTCCCAGACACCCTTCCTTCTCCAGCTTCTCCAGAGGCAGCCCTCTGCACAGAAGGAGTTAACCTGGGGCTTAACTTCTTGAAAGAACCCAAAGCTTTTATTCCTTGATCTCAACCGCTCCCTTCCTTTGCAAAGTCTTCCTTGATCTTTACACCTCCCGCAGGTCCCTCCTCCTTTCTCTCACCTCCTGGACTCCAAAAACTGTCTGACTGCCAGTGCGGGTCAATGGTTAACACTCAGCCGGCTTTATATAAACTTGCCCCGGCCGGCCGCCTACCAGCTGCGCCGCTCCTTCCGTTCCCTGGATCCCGGAGACAGCGGCTCCAGCGGCCCCCGTGGGTCCACGCCATGGCCACCTGCTGGCAGGGCCTGTGGGCCTATCGCTCCTACCTGATTGTGTACTTGCTGCCCATTTTCCTGCTGCCTCTGCCCATCCTCATCCCCATGAAGGTAAGGCCTTGGGGTTCTGGGCGCAGACAGACTCCAAAAGGGTCGGGGGGGGGGGGCGGTGGCCGGCAAAGCTTCTGGGCAATAGCTGGGCACCTTAGGACCAGCAGAGCCCACTCAGCACCCCCTCTCCTGGGAACGAGAGACTATGACCTGGCCCTCCTGAGGCTGAGGCTTACGAGGGCAAAGGAGGCTTTGGCTTGGCACTCGGCAGCAGTGGCCCGATGTCAATTGCTCAGATGCACTCGAAATCTACTGCCCTGAGAGACAGGAAGCCAGTTCCACAAAGAAGGTGCAGGTGGAAGCCGAGGGGGTTATCTGCCTACTGTGTGCTCCCCCAGCCCTGGACTGGGCTCAGTGGGGCGCGAGACAGGGGCAGGAAGGGGGTAGAAGGAAGCTGGCTTCAGGCAGTTTGCGGCTTTAAGAATGTAAACAGAAAGAGAAAGAGCTCACCTGGATCCCAAGGGCTAAGTCAGCGGAGGGAGAGGAGTGGGAACTGGATGGACAGGACTCGGCCAGTTGGCACCGTAGACCCCATACCCCGGACGGAGGGAGAGCTACCCCAGCCTCCTGCTTCCCTCCACCGGGCAGCAGGTGCCATACTTTGGCTCCCATTTATTGGAGCCCCCACCACAAACCCTGTACTGTGCACCCAGTAACCCTTCCTCTCATCTTTCGCCCCCCTTCCCCCCACCATGGACCCTTCCTCTCATCTTAAGAGGTGGGTCTGACTGTCCCATTTTACAGATGGGAAAAGTGAGGCTAGGTCACTTACCCACATCCCGAGGCAGATCCTGGTTTCATGGAGCTTGGAGATTATACACGTTGGAGGCCACCTTGTAAGGAAAAGAACATAAAATTATGAATCTGAGATTATGGGGCTTTGGGACAGGTCAGTTCAGGAGGAGGGTCTTGAAGTTCAAGCTTCATAGCAGGTCACAGAATTAGAAAGTGGCTGCGCTGGGGGTGTGGTCTAGCTCCAAAGGCTGTGCTGACTTCTCTCCACCCTGCTGCTTCCCGAAATCGAATCCCAGCTCTGGCCCCACCCCACAATCCCAGCACTGCCCACTAGCTCTTTTCTTGTTACAGATAAGGAAATCGAGGCAGGCTTTTTGTTCGTGGTATCCCAAAGGGGTGAGGGACTGGGAGTGGCGGGGCCCAACTCCTGGGCCCCTGACACTTGGTAAGTGATAAGGCCTGGCTGATCTTTGAGATAACTCTCGTCTCAGGCCAAAGCCAGTGACATCTCTGTGCTGGGGACCCATCGGATGGGTTCTCAGGTTGGGCCAAGTGTGTTAACCACGGGAGGAAGGACAGACAAGGGGCCGTGATTCCCATTTTGCTCCCCAGGTAGGTACAGCCCAGAAAGATCCAGTAATTGCCCAGCGTCACACAGGAAAGCCCGAGTCAGAACTAGAAGGCAGATCTCCTGGCGGGAGAGCGGTGCGTCAGGGCTCCCGACTTCCCTGGGCTGCGCCCAGTCAGGCTGCCTGCCTGTGTCCTGACTCAGATGAAGTGCTCCTGGCCCTCCAGTGGGGCCCTGGATACCAGCTCCTCTCCGGGACCTTGCTCCTGTAATTATCCTCTCTCTCTCTCTCTCTCTCTCTCTCTCTCTCTCCTGCCTCATCAATTTCTCCCTCTCTGCCTAATCTCTTCCATTAGCATACAAACCTGGGACGCTATCTCTCACCTTAAAAACCAAACCCTCCTTGCATCCCACATCCCCCTCCGGAGGCCGGCTGTCTCTGACTCTCACAACGAAGGCCTCGAAATCTGTCTGTCCGCACGCGCCTTTCCTTACGACAGCTCCAATCTCTGGGGCCCCTGGGTGGCTCAGTCGGTTAAGTGTCGACTTCAGCTCAGGTCATGATCTTACAGTTCGTGAGTTTGAGCCCCACGTGGGGCTCTGTGCTGACAGCTCAGAGCCCGGAGACTACTTCAGATTCTGTGTCTCCCTCTCTCTCTGCCCCTTCCCGCTCATGCTCTGTCTCTCAAAAATGAATACACATTTTTAAAAATTAAAAAAAAAAAAAGATTTTATTTTTAAGTATTCTCTGTATCCAACATGGGGCTTGAACTCACAACCCCAAGATCAAGAGTTGCATGCTCTACCGACTGAGCCAAACAGGTGCCCCCAGAGCCATTCCTGACTCCACTTTTCCTTTCATTTCCACATGGCACCAGGGGGTCCTGTTGACTCGATATCCATGAAATATGTTTTTGAGAGAGAGAGAGAGAGAGAGAGAGAGAGAGAGAGGGCATAAGTGAGCAAGGGGCAGAGAGAATCCCAGAAGTGTCAGAGAGAGAGAGAGAGAGAGAGAGAAGCAGAGCTCACCGGAAGTGGGGCTCCAGCTCACCTGCTATGGGACTCGAACTCGCGAACTGGGAGATCACCACCTGAGCTGAAGTCAGATGCTTAATGACTGAGCCACCTCAATGCCCCCTCCACAAAACGTTCTGAATGGAATCACCTGCCGCTGCCCGCATGTGACTCCAGGCCACCATAGCCCTGCTCTCCCTGTTCCCAGGACCATTCTTCACCCAGCCACTGCCCTGCGTAAGCCCTTACACAGGCTTCCTGTCCAACTTGAAGCCAAACCCAAACCTCTTAGGGTCTAAGGGCAGACCCCCTAGTCTCTAATGCCTCGTACCCTACCTCTCGTTCACTCTGTCCCGGTCTCACCAGCTTTCTCTGTGCTCCTCAAATTGCGCATCCCCCTGCCTTGAAATGTTCTTTCCCAGATGAGTGCTTCTCATTCCTTAGGTTTCAGCCTAAATGCACCTCCTCAGAAAAAGCCTTCTCTGACTGCCACCAGGCCAGCCCTAAAACCTCTCGAGAGACAGAGAGACAGAGAGAATTCCAAGCAGGCTCTGCTCTGGCAGCGCAAAGGCCTATGCAGGGCTCGAACCCATGAACTACAGGATCATAACCTGAGCTGAAACCAAGCATCAGACGCTTAATCAACTGAGCCACCCAGTCACCCCAGATGAATTTGTTTCTTTTCTCTTTATTCTCTAATAACTCTCTATACTAGAGTACAGGCTCCGTGAGAGCAGCGACTTTGTCTTTTGTCCGTGCACAGTCCCTGGTAGCTGGCACATAGTAGGTGCTCAACAAATACCTGTCGAATGAATGCATGAATGTGGGCAAAGCGGAGTCTTGAGTCCCTGCTGTCTGCAGTGAGTCCCCAAGCTTCCTATGCCTCTGAGTCCTGAAGTGGGAAAAGGGAGCCCCAGACTAGGCTCAGACTGGTGTCTGTGTTATAATAGTTATAATAGTTGACGTTTGCTGAGTAGAGTTTACGTGCCCGTCTTTGTGCCAAACACTGCAAAGCACTAGCACATTTATTTCTCACAATAACTTCTCAGTTACTATGAGGTTACTACTATTACCCCATTTTACAGTCATATAAATTGAGGCCCAGGGTAGTCAAGTACTTTGTCTAACGTCCCAGCTAGAGAAAGTCCAGGTCTAACCTGGGAGCTGGCCTTGGGGATCTCTGCCTGGGGCTGTCCAGGGATACAGGGCGGTGGCCTTATTGTGAGTCACCTCTTAAGCCACCTGCCCTCACGTCCGTCCAGCCATCGGCCACTCCTTCCGCTCTGGTGCCGCCAGGGATGTCTGTGGGGCTCCTGCTCTGGGCCGGGGGTTCCTGAGAAGGAATCCAAGGTGCTGTTCTCCAGTGACTGTCAGTGTAGAAGTGCCATCAGTGGTCACCCAGAGGTATAGCCAGAAGGCCGAGGAGCTCAGAGGAAGGAGGAAACCCTTCCAAATAAGTCAGGGGAGAATCCACAGCAGGTGATGTTTGAGTTGGGCCTTGAAGGCCGAGTGAGATTCCAACAGTCAGAGGCATCCATAGAGGGCAGGCCAGGTGGCGACAGGGGCAGCAGCAAAGGTGTGGGGGCTGGAATCGTGGGGGGCGTTCGAGGAAGAGCCGCAGAATCCTTGAAATGCTCGTCACCCTCTGTGGAAGCAGCAGATGCTCGTTCTAGAGCGAGGCAGGTCAGAGCCTTCACTGATTTTTCCAAAAGGCATAACATGAGTTATCAATGAACCCAGGGGAAACTTCTTAGCCAGATCATCAGGCACCAATGTGGGGACAGTGAGGCCTGGGACGTCCTCACTGCTCCCCCAACCCTGTATGTAACCAGACAGTGAAGAGGCCCATCGGTGAGCCAGTAACCTTACGTCCGTCCCTTCATTCACCCATTCGTTCCCTCATTAGGGAACGTGTACTATGTGACAGGGACTGTTTGGGTGCTGGGGGCTGTGGGGCGGGGGGCAGGGGGAAGACACACAAAAGCATCCACTGTCCTTGTTGTGAAAACCATAAGGGACATGCTGCTCTGGATAAGGTGGTCAAGGAAGGCCTCCTGGGGTAATGACACTTACCCTGGGACCCTAATGGCAAGTAAGACCCAGGCAAGCACAGCTCTGGGCGAAGAGCTGTCCAGGCAGAGCGGGCGCTGCAGAAGCCCAAGGGCAAGGGTGAGCTTGGCAAGGTGAAGGGATAAACAGAAGCCAGTGTGGCGTGGGGGCCAGTGAGGACAAGACGGTGTAAATTCACTTAGAGAGGCAGGGGGAAGCCAGCCAATGTCGTCAGCCCTGCGAAGCCAGGGGAAGGAGTTTAGGGTCAAAATGCAGGTGCCCCGCCCCGCCCCGGGACTCGATGGGCCCATCTGTAAAAAACAGTCTCCTAGGGGCACCATGTTGGCCCGGACAGAGCTTAGCTGAAATCTAGATCGTATTTACAAGAAGAGCAGAGGGCAGGATTTCTTCATCTGAATCAGCTGCGCTTCTAGAATATTCTTGAGAACAGTACATTGTGTACGGGCACGCGTGTGCTTTGAAATTTGTGTAATTAAAACACCCTTACCATGAGCTGTCCCTGAATCCCAGAGACGGGGCAGGACTCGGATGATTCACCCCGGGCATAAAGACTGTACAAGGAATTTGGACCTCAGTTCCGGGGCCCACCTCGATCTTTTGAGACTTCCAGGCC